TGGGGTTGCAGAGTTAAGGACAGAAAAGAATACTTGTGCTAGCTGGTGTCTTTCATATTTCCAAAGCAAAATTTAAGACATTTAATTGATTAGCACATGTGCCAGATACTTCTCTAATTGCTACAGATACATCAGCCAGCAAGGAAAAAAAAAAAAAAAAAAAACCTCCTTTCAAAATGTCTCAGAATAGAAGCTCTAGATGTTCTAATAAGAAACATTGAGTTGAAAAATTGTCATTGCTTTTCCTTTTGCAGAATATCATTAAGAGATATCAAAAAGAGTCAAACTTTGTGCTCATTATATAAAGACCTGAGGACATGTTAACAAGCCACATTCCAGGCAGAGAAAGAAAAACAGGTCATGGAGAGTGTGTACCTTTTTAGTCATCAGAGAGTAAAATTCTACCAGAGCAGTCAAGGGAAGGGACCAGCTGTTTTCTCACTCCCCAGGTGAGACTGATGAGGTTTAAATTCAGAGAGCAAAGTAAGAAAATCACATCAACATTTTCTTCATATTCAAGAATTGAGATGAGTTGTTAAATACCATCATGTCAGCTCCAACTCATTGTGACCCTATGTACAACAGAATGAAACATTGCTTGGCCCTGTGCCATCCTCACAATGTTTGTGATACTTGATCCTGTCATCACAGCTACTGAGTCAATCTGTCTCATTAAGGGTCTTCTCCTTTTTTTACTGAGCTTCTGCTGTACCAAGCATGATATCCTTCTACAGGAACCAGTTCCTTCTGACAACATGATAAAAGTACATAAGATGAAGTCTGGCATTCTGGCTTCTAAGGAACATATCTTCTGTATTTCTTCCAAGACAGATTTTTTCTTCTGTCAGTCAGGGTGATTTTAATATATATATGTATGTATGTATTTTGCCAACATCACAGCAAATTATAATCAAGTATTTTGTCTTTTTTTTTTTTTTTTTTTTTTTTCATTTTCCAGCTTCCAGACACTTATGAGACAAATAAAAATATCTTGGCTTGGGTCAAGCACACCCTAGTCTTCATATGACATTTTTGCTGTTTCAAATGTTAAAGAAATCTTTTCCAGCAGAATCGTCCAGTGAAGTATATTGAGTCCTTTCTTGACTGTTGTTTCCATGGACATGGATTGTGGATCCAAGTAAAACGAAATCCTAAGGTTTTCTTTCCATTTCTTTATTTGCTTTTGCTTTTTCATTTGTTTTTGGCAGTTGTAATTTTCTGCTTAGAGTACCCATGGGGATAGAATGAGTTTGACACTTAGGTCACACATGTATCACAAAGTAAAAGGTATCTTGGCTATGAGTAAATCATATATTTTCTTTTAAAACAGTTTTTTTTTCCCAATTTAAAAGCATATTTTCACATATGATACATACAAATAATTTTTCACTCTTTGTAAAAAGAATCTGAATCTAAGAAAATCAGATCATGCAGAAAGTAAATTGGTACAAGGGCAGGACCTGAATCCATACTGTTTTAAATCCTTCATTGTACCCTCTCACATTCTTTAATCAAATATTGTTTTTGTGTGTCCCTGTGAGTAATTCAATAATGATTGTAGGTGTTTTTGTTAGTGTCAACTCTGCTAATTATTCAGATGGGATTATATCTGCAGTTCCTATCTCATCTCCATGACAACTGGAAGATTTAAAAGTGAATGTTTGATTCATATGAAACTATATGCAGTGTAATGGTGTCCTAATTATGTACTAAGCTAATCACTATGGTCTCCAAACTCAGAGAAATCAGAATCTGAAATAGTATTCATAAGTCTTAAATTTCTGTCTTTGTTCACTTTTCTGTTTTCATTGGATCACTCAGCTAATGATTTTGGCACTGAATGGAGGAAGCAAGGTGACCTGGAGTAGAATAGGATAATAGAAAGTATTAAAATTCCAGACACTAGGGTTGAATTACTACATATACTTTTAACTAAGTGTCTAATCTGAGTAAAGCCAATGCATCTCTAGATTTAATCTTACTAATCATTCAAAAAGGAATACTGTTACATATAATTGACTCTTCTGTGAATTTTCAGATATTCATGCTATTTAAACATTGTCTTAGCTTTTTTATGGAGAGGACTACCTTCCATCCTGTTATCCTTACATCAAAGGCTCAGAGAATTACCTTGATGATTATTAGTCTTGTTGTTAGGTGTCATCGAATGAACTCTGATTCATAACAAGCCTATGTACAACCGAACTAAACTGCCCAGTCATGAACCATCTTCATAATCCTTGTTATACTTAAGCATCATTGCAGCCTCTGTGTCAATCCATTTTGTTGAGGGTCTTCTCCTTTTTCTCTGACCCTCTACTTTGGCAAGCATGATATACTTCTCCAGGGAATGGTCCTTTCTTACCACATGATCAAAGAAGGTAGGATGAAGTCTGATCATTCTAGCTTCCAAAGAGCATTCTAACTGCACTTCTTCTCAGGATGGATTTGTTCATTTCTCTGGCAGTTCAGGGTATTTTCAGTAATCTTAGCCCAAACCATAATTCAAAGGTATCAACTCTTCTTTGGTCTCCCTTATTCATTGCCCAGCTTTCCCATGCATGTTGTTGTTGTTATGTGCCCTTGAGTCGGACCCGACTCATAGCAACCCATCCTTGGGTTTCTGAGGCAGTATCACTACAGAAGTAGATTGTCCAACCTTACTTCTGAGGAGTGGCTGGTGAGTTTGAACCACCAGCCTTCTGGTTAGCAGTCAAGTGTTTTAGGCACTATGAGGTGATTAAAATACCATGACTTGGGGTTGGGCACACCTTAGTCTTCAAAGTGACATCTCTGCTATTCAACACTTTAAAGAGGTCTTTTGCAGCTATTAGCCCAGAGCAGTACAGGATCTAATTTCTTGACTGGTGCTTCCATGGGTGCTGATTGTAGAGACAAGTAAAATGAAATCTCTGACAACTTTAATCTTTTCTCCACTTATCATGATGTTGCTTATTGGTCTAGTTGTGAATTTTTTTTTTTTTTTTTAAAGTTGAGATGGCATCTATACTGAAGACTAGAGTCTTGGATCTTTATCAATAAGTGCTTTGAGGTATCTTCAGTTTTAGCAAGCAAGGTTGTGTCATCTGCATATCTCAAGTCTTTAATGAGTTTCCCTCCAATATTGATGCCATGTTCTTCACCCATGCTATTTAAACATTGTCTTAGCTTTCTAATTGTGAGGACTATGATCCATTCTATGCTTCAACCTCAAAGGCTCAGAGAACTATCTTGGTGATTACAAGTCTTAACAAAATTATATTACATAATTTGGGAATAGAAAAGGACAGAGAAAAAGGATTTAACTTTCATCAGTTCCCTCAGTGTCTTGGTATTATGTTAAGCCTGCCCCAGCACATCAGAGGTGTAAACACTGAGTAATACTTCTAGCCATCCTTTTGTACAAGTGTATTTTGATACCATGAATCATATAAACATGGGGGCCAGTCTCCCTTCCAGGTTATTTCTCAACAAAATCTCAGGTTGCCTTCAACCTGGACATATTCATATCTCCCGTTTTAAATTGCCTCACACTGTGTGTTTGCTCTGCATGCCCTTCATCTCGGCCAAGATTTTAATAGCCCATAAATACTCAGCTTCAATGGCAACTTCTGCATTTAATGACACCTTTCTCTGCTCACCAATAATTGGGAGCTCTCTCACCTCTGTAAAACCACACTGAGCTTTGCTTACACTCCTTTTATAGCCCTAATGCCACTTATTCCTGTACTTATTCCTTTTAAATGTCAATCGAGATTGTACATAAATTATTATATAGTGATATGTATAATTAAAATGAAAATTAATGCATGGTGATATCTGAAGGTTGTATAGACATTGACATAGTAAATATAAAATAAATATTTAAAAATTACAAATGGAGGATTAATTTATCTGAATACTTAAATTTGAAAAACTTCCTTATCTTCTTTATATTTTTAATAAAAATGTGTAAAATCATCAATGAATTGTGCTTTTATATAAATATTTTCTTCGTGTATATTGTACTTCAATTGAGTTTTTATTAAGTTCATCTGTAACAACAAATATAAACAATTTAAAGGAAATAAAATAACAAAAATCTAACTAAGTATCCCATCATGCTGGGTGCCTGAGGGACTACTGGCTGTCCACATAACTTGTTTGC